ATAGGATAAGATATATTAATTTAGAGCCCCGCTCTTATATATATATATATATATATATATATATATATATATATATATATATATATATATATATATATATATATATATATATATAAACATGACCTCCTAAAGTTATATATAGATAGAGATTATAAATCTATTCTCTTCTCTCGTTAGTCTCTACTTCATCATTGTTCGTAGTTATGTGAAAAATAAAGAGGATAAAGTGAGTCTAGCTGTGTTACTTCATAAGGACTACGATGTGTACCAGATCCAATAGAAATATATTACCGCCCTTTTGTGCCACCGCATAGCTTATGTAGTTGCTACTTATGTAGTCGTTATTGTTTGTACAACCATTGCTTGTAATAGGGCCAATGACTAAGGAAAGTCGTCACCTTTCATAACACTATCGATAACAAGTTACCGACAATAGCTCATCAACCAAAATCGAGTAGCATGTTTTCATATGTGGTTCCACTCATGTGGGTGAGGAAAACTTTATAACTTGCAACAACAATTGCAAACAAAATAAGCAAATAGATTGAATGACACTTTCTAGGTCGATAATATAAATAAATTTAATATAAAATAGATATAATATTATTATAATTTAATGTATATTTGATTTTAAAATATGGTTCTGATGTATGAAAAACTATCATGATGCTACTATTATATGAAAAAATTTTAATATCAAAACTGAAATCAAATGGACAATAAATCAAGACCAATGGTATAGGTGGTCACCACGAGTGATCACCTATATCAACAATTAACTTATTATCTATGATAGTACAACATAGGGCGATGGCGTACCGTGGCCATCGACCATATTGTGGGCAAAGGATTACTGTCAGCAACATTGTAAGGAGTTACGATGGTAGAACTTCGATTGGTTTTACTGGTGGTCGAGAGTAATAGTGGCATCGTAACATTGGGCGTTGTGATGAGAAGTCACACAACAAAGTGTTGATAGTAACTCGATTAAGAGATGTGGGTCTCATACAAGTGGTGTTATCTAGATGGTGCCTACTTCATCACTAATCGAGGTTTTGTGAAAAATAAAAAGAAATGAGAAGATAAAACCAGGTGAGTCTAACTTGGTTACTTTGTACTAATTACAATGTGCTTCTGACAAAGATATTTCATTGAGCATGACATCTAACGATACACTAGTCTGATATTGATCTATCATTATTTAATTTTAATTTTATAAAATTAAATTTGTTTTCTTATAACAATAACAAAATAACAGTTTTATGCTTAGAGTGGTATGAGCCACGGTTTCCCTTTGTTCCTTTACCACTTTGAAGGATTCAAACTTGGTGAGTGGTTTGGTATGACTTATTGAACCATAATTAATCGATCCTCTTCAATTTTCTTAGAGGTGTTTTCATGATGTTCTTTGCACGTGTTTGAATAAGCAAATTAGGTCAAAACCACGGCGTTGGTTTTGGTCATTGTGCTTATGTTCATGATGTAATTTGCACGAGTCTGAATAAGTGAATTAAGTCAACATCATGGTGTTGGTCTTGTTCTTTGTGTTTATGTTCAGAAAGCTCTCTAATTTCAAATAACCATATTTAAATAGCACATTCTAAATACTCTTTTTTTTTTTTGAAGTTTTTGCTCGTATAGAGACTGTTCAGCTATATTTCAATGACTATAACATTAGAGTAACAATTAAATGATGAGCCAAAATAAACAATTAAAGCTTTAGAGCTATTATGATTGATAAGTATTTTCAAAGTGCTAATAGGAATTAAATTGCTTCTTGATAACATTACTTGGAGATTAGAAATTGATCCTTAGTCTTATTTTGATGCTTTTCTATTGCTGATCACAATATATTAATTCATTTAAAAACTTTACACTTCTTGTGGCCGATGAATATGTTAGTTTGAAAAAATAAAATAAAAATTTTCGACAAAAGAGAAACCATCCATATATTACCTCAAAAAGGAATAATTATTATCTACAGCATCAAAGGCAACCAAATCAGAAAATTTGCCAATCAATTGGCAAATTTTAAAATGCCATATATCGTATTCAAAAAAGTTGTACATTAATTCAAGCCTCTATATGCAAATTATAAAACGTTGGAAGTGATATTTCAATTCCAAGAAATTCTAGTTTTCTTCGTTTCAAGAATACATACAAAATTATCCAATTTCTATTTCCCTTCATTTGAACAATCTATTACAATTTTAGAATTGCATATGCAGGTTTGTTTTAGGAATAAAACCGATTGAATTTAATTTTTTTTTGTTACGAATCTACTTGACTCACTTAAATCAGATTCAGCTATTTTCAATTGGGCTTAAGACTCCAATATCTAAGAAATACTTGCAAGAAAATGAATATATATGTCTATTCGATCACTTTAAGGGCACTTTGTTTGAGTTATTCGAATAAATTCAGAGATTCAAAACCAAGTTAGATTAAATTTCAGATCTGAATACCTAACTCTATGCTTGAATTTGGATTCAGATAACTAACATTGTATATTCTTACCAATAATTTTCCAAGGAGATGAAGGTGAATACCTAATTCAGAGGCAAATATTTTATAATAAAGCAAATAGTAGATACTTGCACAAGCAAGGATATACCACAACAAAGCAAATACTAGATGATATTTCAAAGGCAACCACGCTAGAACAACATTACTAACGAAAGCAAAGCAAAGCAAAGACGCACATAAAACGGATAGAGCGAGGAGACTCGCGCTAGTAGCACATCACAATTCTCCTCATAGTTCAACCTTAATCTAACACAAAGCAAAACACTAGATGCATGCAAAGCAAAGCCACACACGTTAAATAGATAAGAGCAGAGGAGACTGTGTTCCTCATGGTTGAAGCCCACTCTTAATGCGTCATGGGAACATCACAAGGGTTAGCAAAGCTCTTATATTGGTTCCCTTACTCAAGACTTGACTGTGTTCCAACTGGTCTCTTTTCAACCCCACCACTGGTGGACAGCAATTCCCTCGTCCCTGAGCTTCCCATAGAGGGCCAGGCACTCCCAGTAAGCCCTCCTTCTCCCCTTCCCTTGCTTGTGCCACTGGGTCTTGCACTCCAAGAACAGCTCATCCACCAGCCCAGTGGCGCCTTCCCTCACCATCTCCTCCACCACCTCGGCCTCCGCCTTCATCACCACATACTCCTCTTCCTTCAAATTCTTCGACAGCCACCCGGCTATCCCACTGGCCACACTTGCATACTTAACTTCGCCCACGACATCCAGTTTGATGATCTCGAACTCGGAGTTCCTTTTGGGGTAATGCTTATTGAACCACTTGTCGATCGTGGCCCTCCCGGGCATTCCGACATCGACGAACACCCTTCTCGAGTACTCGTTGAGCGAGCCGGCCAACAGATTGGAGAGAAACCTCGTCCTCTTCATGGCCCTTGTCGAGGCTTTTCGATCGGAAGGCGGCTCCAGCAATGCATCCTCTAATCCATTCAATACGCCAATGATCGATTCCGGCACGGCAAGCAATTTCCTCCCGATATGAGTGCCGATGAAATCAGCTGCATTTTCGTCCTCGAGTCCGTTCGGCATTTCCATTGATTCTGGGAGGGTGAGCAGCTTCCTCCCAGTTCGTGAGCCCATAAATTCGTCAGCGTTTGCGTCTTTGAGGGCAATGGCGTGGGCCGTCTTCTTGATCCCGACGATGGTGGAACCGAAGCGCCGGATGTAGACGATCCTGTAATTCGCTGGAAAATTGAAGGTGTGCCATGGATCCGAGCTCAGTCGAACGATAGTGACGCCTCCAACTCTCAGAATCCTTTCGACAAACATAAAGGAGGCGTCGCAGAAATCGTCGGCGGCGAGCACAAAGTCGACAGAGCGATCACGAACGGCCATCCGACTGGCCTCCGACATGACAGGGTGCATCTTGTTCTGCTTCACGAAGGCGAGTCGCGAGCCGGGGTTTCCGAGGAAGAGAGCGGCGTCGCTTGCGCCGGCTACGAGCAGCCCCTCGCGCCTCAGATCGCGGAGGAGCATAGGGAGGAGGAAGGGGTCGTCAGTCCACCGGTGTGGGGACAAGAGGGAGCATGTGCCGTCCGGCGGAAGCATGGATCTAAGCCAGGGATAGGCGAGTATGGCAACCGTTACGAGCACCGACCTGGCGATAACGCGGAGCACTCGTGGGTGGGGAAGACTGATCACGAGCTGATCTCCGCCACCTGCGGCAGCAGCGTGGCTCTCTCCGTGGCGTCTGGTAGCCCTGGGAGGACCCTTCATTGTGCAGATGCCGCTTATACTGCTACTGCGGCGGCGATCAAGAGACTTCTCTTTTCCCAAAGAAGGGAAACCAAAGAGGAGAAATCAAACCTGAGAACGAACGAAAAGGCCGGCGGGGAGGCGGCGACGAGCTTAGCGAGAGCAAAAGCGGGCGGCGGTGTGGTTACCACCCACGAGGGCCACACGGGTGCTCAAGCGTCTCAGCCAAAGGAGCATCAGCAGCCGCATTCGCTCCGCTTCCATGGTGGGCGACCAGATCCCGATGGCGGAGACTATAAACACCAGATCAGACCTCGGTCTCCACCGCCAGTCCCCGGCGGTGGGAAGAAGGTAGAAAAAGATGAAGGTGGAGAAATGGAATCGCAATGGGGAAGGAACACCACTGGAAGGCAGAGAGGAAGCGGCGAGGGTGCGCAGTATATATTCGGAGGAGAGAGAGAGAGAGAGAGAGAGAGAGACGAGGGAGTAAATTAGGGAACGGAAGGGGAGGTTGCTACTGTTTCACGGAAATGAGGTTGTGCCGTAGATGTCAGGCTGTCAAACTTACCCTACGCTGTACTCTGTTGAGTGGTTGGTTGGCCGAGTTGGATTTGCCATGGGGAACGATGATGAGATCTAGAGAAATCTTGATGAGTTTTGACGATGTGATTTTGATCATGATTTGAATTCAATTTCGGGTGGGATAGAATTATTCGATGTCTTATCAACTTTAATATACTTTGGGAAATTATATACTGAATCAAATTAGTTATCTCCTATTGAGAGTTGATTAATTTGAACGGCTTGGATTGGATCACTCACGTCGCGGTGTGTTCCTACCAATTGGATAGGCTGCAACGGTAATCGTAACCGACGCGAGTTCAGGGGAGCACCGTATCAGATGGCAAACGAAGGTCGGTCTCGTTCAAATGAAGACCGAGACTTGAATTGGACCAACCCACCATATTTCCTCCATGGGTCCACACCACAGACACAGACTTGCAAACACAAGGAATTCATAAGCCACTGACTTAACTTAAAGTGCAAAATAGAATATACTCAGAAAATAAATTTGACATTTTTAAAACGCATATTATTTTTGTATTTAAGAATAATAAATATAAGTAATAAAACTATGCTAGAAAACAAAAAAAAAAGAATCATTGATAAAATACAAAATTAAAATAATAAATATAAGATTTATATGTTTTGACATTGTTTACCAATATATGGAGAAAAATCAATAATTTTATTATATGAGAATAATGAATACAAGGGGTAGAACTTTAGAAACCCAAATCTAAATGCAAAATCCATACTACCTTCTCATGTAAAACTTAAAATATTTTTCTTCTTTTTTTTTTCCCATAGTCTCTCTGGATAAGAAAGACAATGAGTAAGTAGGTTTGGGAATATATTTAAAATATGCATTGTGAGCCCAATGCATATTTTAAATATAAATTAATATTTGGTAATTTTTTAAAAAAAATCGTATTTAGCCTAGAGATTATAATGCATTTTAATATTTGTAGAATGCTAATATAAATTTTTAAATTCCCAAAGTACCATATGATATTACCTAGAATCATAAGATTACCAATATTTTTATTTTTTTTTATTTTTATAAATATTTTATGTTCATTTATATTATTATGATTTTTATTTATTATATATACGAGCCATACAATTTTTTAAGATTATATACATTATTTTTAAGTAAATATTATATATATATATATATATATATATATTAAAAATATTAGAATGACAAATTTTATATAATATTTAATTTATTTTAAAATATAATTTTATCAAACAAAATCAATACATATTTAAAATATAATTTTTATCGAACACTTAAAGAATTTTATAACTTCTTTCTCTAAATATATATTCACAAAAGAAACCTATATTTGGTACTTTCTCATGCTAAATAGTAAAAACATTAGTTATTTACATAGTAACAAATATAACCCATTAGTACTTCTCTAAATCTGATTATGAATCTAAAACTTTAGCTAACCCTCGTAGACATATTATCTTCTGTGATTAATTAATCTTAATATTTTAATTCTTATATTTTGAAAAGTTATATTGATATCATTATGGTTATATAAGTAATACATCTATGTCTAATTACCCCAACATCATTAATTTTATCAATAAAAATAAAAAAAAATAAAAAAATAATCTTAAGGTTTCAGTTGATGGTGACGAACAATAATGCTGTTGGGGTCACGAATGACTATTATGAATGAAGAGAATAACGACAATAGATAATAATCGCTCTATATCTATGTCGGTGTCATTGTAGTTACCGAGCAATAAAATAATCGTCGATGTAGATACCGAACGATGTTGCTCTACATCTACGTCAACATCAATGTAGATATAAAGTAGTTTTTACCTTTCGTTGTCGTTTTGCTCATCCATAACATTTACTTGTGGACTCAGCAATATTATTGTCTATCATCATTAATTGAAATATTAAAATTATTTGTTTACCTTTTGTTTTCATGTTTCTATTGGTAAAATCGATAATGTTAGGATAAATGGATCTAGATATTTTATTTTCATATAATTTATATAGATATCATTTTAATTTTTTAAAATATAAAAAAATAAAAATACTAAAGATAATATGTAATTAACCCAACCGTTCCACAAAAGTATCGTAATCAATATGAAAGATAAAATCTAGTGCAGGATCTCATCTCCGTCTCTTCCTATTTCCTTTTTTTGTTGGTGAGTGACGGCTAGTGAAAATTTAGACAGTGCAGGATAATAATAAGAACAACAATAATAGAGAGAGGTGTCTCCCCTCGTGTGGGCTCTCCTCCACCTCATTATATAAATCCAAAAGGCAGCCAAATGAAACACCCTACACCGGAAGCCACCGGCCTCACTCCGCTCCACACAAAGGGTACGGTAGGACCCAACGATTCCCCTCGCCGTACACCCTTTTCATGCGTGCGAATCATGTGAAGCTCCACCCATCATTTGTTCCTGCTACTAAATTAAGTGTATTGTTATTATTATTATTATTTTGATTTCCTCACGTTGCGGGATGGTTGGAATCTCAATGAACGGTCCAAAATAACTTCTATTTTTTAGCTTTTGGTGGTAATTAATGTGTGTCTTAGTTCTCTAGAATCACTATTGTGTGGTAAGTTGCCACACATATGGTTGCTTGCCAACATTTTAATATGGTTTATTTCATGTATGTGAGCACACGAACTCTTAATTCAAGTTGGAAAAAGGTGTCTTGGCTCGATTAACTATGACGAGAGTATCATCACACGATCCAAGACACGAGGTGATAAATATAACGATAAGAAACATTTCTATTGTTGGGTTGGACAGTTAGACTCATCTTTTTTAAGTTGATCGACCGTTTGAATCAAAACTTTAGGCTCATCTTTAGGTTGGATGTGCGATAGGGAAGATCGCATTCAAGCGATCGTACGGAAGGAAGGGTAAAGGAGGAGACTTTGCTCATCTCTACGGCAGCAGTCAAAGCATCTTGGATCCGTGAACGGCATTCAAATTTATGGGGATGATGCACTGTCTCCAACCATTTTGATGCACACCTTCGATGCACAACACTGAGAGAGTGACTACAGGAAAAGGACAGGTGATATAAAGGAGCAGGGTGAGGACAGCAGAGGTCAGAATCATGCCGAGCCTCATCATCTCCGGTCTCACCATTGAATGATGGTGAACGGGACGACATGATCAAATCCGGTTTATTTGCCGAGGAAGAACTTAATGAAGACACAAAAAACAGTGATCAAATTTATTGACAGTGGTACGGCAGATTTTGATGATCCCTCTAATTTCGAAGATAACTTAAAAGTTCAATGTCTGTGGTAAGATGTGGAACGCGTCAGAGATTTAAAAACATAATCATGCATGATCATTGTATTGGGAGTATTCGGGACAAAAGTCACTTTAATATTTAAATTATATATACAATAATAATCTTTTTAGATAAACGATTATGTTGGATCTCCGATCACTATTCAGACATGTGTGAAGTAGATACAATAGCTCTCGATAGACAAACGTGACAAATATTTTTATTAGTGCTAATTTGACATCAGACTTGTACCGTGACATGACGTTGGATCGCTCACATGATATTTCTTACTTTTGTAAAATATTGAAAAACGATTATATTTTTAATTTTTAATTATTGTACAACTTAATTTTAATTAATTTAATATTAGCTAATAATTAAAAAAATTAAAAAGAGTTTCCGAAACCTATGCCAATAATGTTGAACTCTGTGAGTCTATGCATAGTCGCTACCATAAAAGTAGTTAGTTTAAATTAGTGTTATGATTCCTATTTTACCATCTTATTTCTAAATAACTTTACTATTACCTTACCGATGTCTAGTTTCTTTTCTTTTTATATAAATTTTTTTTATCGATTTTATTATTTGTGCAAGATACATTTATAGATCGATATCAATAATATTATGTGTTGGTCTATGTCAAATTCTTTGATAAAATCATGAATTTTATCCTGCCTCATACTATAAATCCTATTCAACTAAGGTGGAGAGACAGTTGATTGTTTTATGCTAACAGTCCTTTAAAATCCTAATGGCATAGATCTATTGTCACTATCATGCCCTAGTTACGAGTCATGTCGTCAATACCTTATTACATTCTTGTACATATACTAATTGGTCTAGCGATGCACAAATATTAGCTTTAAAATCTGAGCTCAAATCATCGCTATGACCCTCATTTTTATCCCTTGCCTATTTTGTTATATTGATAGATCTCCATTAAAATCTTTTTGTATTTTATAACATCGGGATAATTGTTAGTCAAATATTGCTTTAGTTGAATGTTTCATCTACCCCGACCAATATAGTCATAATATATATATTACTAATAATGATAATTATTGTCTAAATAGTAGTATGATTTCAAGCGTTAATATGTATTTGTTCCTTTGGTATAATATTTTTTTTAAAAAAATCAAATTAATAAGTTACGATTTACCTAATTTTTATTAAATTTTAAATAACAAGTTATGATTATATGTAATAAACCCTACTTTGCCACTATGAATATGTCAATCACCCTAATAGACATTAAATATATAGAATTGACATAATATGGGTGATGTAGTCATCATTAAATTTATTAATCATAGTATTAAAAAAGTTATTTACTCCCTAA